AAATAGAAAAATATCTCTTTATGAGAAATTTTGTGGAATAATTAAGTATAGCCTATAAAATGTGAATTTCTTTTTTTATTCTCAAGTTGTATAGATAAGTAAATGATTGATTTCCTAGAGAAGGCATGCTGTTTTCTTCAAATTTACCCTAGTTTTGGTTCTGATTTCGGGAATCAAATTGTATCTCGTCTCGAATTTTTCAATCCATCGTGGTCAAAGTATCCAAAATTGTTTGACCAGATCCGGTACGGATCCCATACCCACACCCATACTAGTGTCGTGTCGACACGGGTGCGGCAGCTAAACTGCCATGTCGGAGCAACTTAGGTTCCATCCACTTTATACAGTTGATCTGAACAATGAGCATTATTTTTCCTTTTATTATGCTGCACAACTGTTCAGTTAGCTGATTAGTTTAAAAAAATCTGTCAAAACTCACAGAACAAGGCTGAAACTTGAGGGAGATGAGTTGACAATTCCTTATTTTGTCTGTGGGATGAATTGCATAAGTCGAAGAGAAATGGCCAACTAGATACTCTGGAAAAATATAGATAGGGCATAATCTGAGCAAAATAAATTCTTAAACTGCTCAGACAGCAAGTAGGTTTATAATTATTGCTGACTGATGTCTGAGGTGAATGATTCTGTTTACTTAAATTTATGTGTTCATTGTTTGGACTTCTTTTTGATCAGGGTATGGATGCTGAGGAGGAAATTCCTGCTTCAACTGCAGAACCTTCGACTCTAGTTGGTGATAATTCGACTGTGGTTAATGCTATAGGAGCGATTAACCTTCAACCAGTTCCACCTGTCACTCCGCCGGTTGCTCCAACAGTTATCCTTCCTGCAGTTGTGCCTGCAATTGCTCCAACGCCTGCAGTCCCTACCCCCATTCCTCCCCCATTAGCTCCATTGCCTGTTCGTCCACCTGTCCTTAGGCCTCCAGTAGCACAGAATGGAGAAGTGCAAGCGAGCGATTCAGATTCTGATGAAGAAATGGGATCTGATCGTGGTACTGGGGGCTCAGTCCAAGAATATGAGATATCTGAGGAGAGCAGAATAGTAAGGGAGAGGCAGGAGAAAGCCATGCAGGAGCTTCTGATGAAGCGACGTGCAGCTGCGCTAGCTGTTCCTACAAATGATATGGCAGTTCGAGCTCGCCTTCGGCGGCTTGGTGAGCCTATAACTCTCTTTGGCGAAAGGGAGATGGAAAGAAGGGACCGTCTGCGGATGCTTATGGCGAGGCTTGATGCAGAAGGACAGCTGGAAAAGCTGATGAAAGCGCATGAGGATGAAGAAGCTGCAGCTTCTGCTGCACCAGCAGAGGAGGAGGATATTCAGTACCCCTTCTACACTGAAGGATCAAAAGCACTTTTAGATGCCAGGGTAGAAATTGCAAAGTATTCTTTAGTTAAGTCAGCATTACGTCTCCACCGTGCAAGGAGGAAAAGGAACGATCCAGATGAAGATGTGGATGCAGAGGTTGATTGGGCTTTAAAGCAAGCAGGGAGCCTCGCCCTTGATTGCAGTGAAATTGGAGACGATCGACCCCTTTGGGGATGCTCGCTTTCACATGATGGAAAGATGCTTGCTACCTGGTATTCTTCTGTACTTCTCTCTCTTGTTTTACCTGACCATAATTTTTCTATTGAGGGTGCTTTTTCCTCGTCCTTTTCTTTTTTATTTTGGGATGGGGGCTTCGCGGGTGGGGTGGGATAGGATACATGACCTGTTATTTGTTGGGTAGCTGCAGGTTTTCAGCATAGATTCATGCACTTAAAACTTGTAAATGTTTCTCTGATTCTGCTCTGTTTGGAACTTATTTTTTCACCTTTACGGACTCATATTAGTGTAACATACTAGCATTTCCTACTTTAACTTTTTGCAGAGATTATCATATTAAATCTTACGGTTAGATGTTCTTCGATTGATTCAATGTCCTACCAAATGAACTGGACAGTGGGATTTTATGTTCCTGTTAGCAAAATGCTGTCATTCTTTTATTAGTGTCTTTAGCGGTTATGAGTATTGGATTTATTCAAGCAGCACCATGACGCCTTTTCTTTTTCTTCCTTTCCTCCTGTATTTAGTTCTCTGAGTGGAATTGCAAAGTTATGGAGTATGCCTCAAGTGCAAAAGCTTTCCACTCTAAAGGGTCACACTGAACGAGCTACTGATGTTGTGTTCTCTCCAACAAGCAATTATTTAGCTACTGCATCTGCTGATAAGACTGCAAAGTTATGGAACTCGGAAGGGTCTCTTCTCAGGACATTTGAGGGACATTTGGACCGTGTAGCTCGGATTGCCTTCCATCCTTGTGGGAAGTACTTGGGCACAGCTAGCTTTGACAAAACTTGGAGATTATGGGATGTAGAAAGTGGTGAAGAGTTGCTTTTGCAAGAAGGTCACAGTAGGAGTGTGTATGGATTGTCGTTTCACCATGATGGTTCATTGGTAGCATCATGTGGGCTGGATGCACTTGTTCGAGTGTGGGATTTAAGGAGTGGACGAAGTATTCTTGCTCTGGAAGGTCATGTAAAACCGGTGAGCCCTCCTTTGATATGTAATCTTCTTTTTCCTCATATGCTTTAGGGATTATGAGAAGACATAGAAAATGAATTCTGTTACTTATTTTATTTATTGGTTCCAGGTTCTGGGTGTCAGCTTTTCTCCCAATGGTTATCATTTGGCAAGTGGTGGTGAAGATAATACATGCCGTATTTGGGACTTAAGGCAGAGAAAATCTTTGTACATAATTCCTGCTCACTCCAATCTTATTTCTCAAGTTAAATTTGAACCTCAGGAGGGATACTTTTTGGTTACAGCGTCCTATGATACGACGGCTAAGGTATAACTTAGTCTTTTTATGATTGTGCTGCTTTTTGGATTTTATTTTATTGCTTGTTTTTATATTCTTCATTCTTAAACTTATATTTCAGGTATGGTCATCAAGGGATTTCAAACCTGTGAAGACACTATCTGGTCATGAAGCAAAAGTCACGTCATTGGATGTAGCGGGAGGTAAGTTCCATTTAAGTTCAAGCTATTCTTACCTTTTCGAGGAGCGAAACAGTATCTTCGAGGAATTTAAGAAGTTTATGGATTTAGCTAATATGTTTTACCTCATTGGTACTAAACCCGTAATTCCTCTCAATAGAATTATTGTGTGTCTCATATGCTTTTTAAGTCACACAGCGATATAATGCATGAACCTGGGACTTCAAGACTCTGTAGCTATTGGTGTTAGTTCTGTTTTCTGTGTGGGATGTCATGCCTCACGATTGCAATTATATGTCATACCACACCCTTGATTAGTAAGGCTGATCTCTGATTATTGGACCAAATCTTGTCCCTCATCTTCTTTTATCGTTGTACTAATGTTTCAATGTTAAGCATACCTTATAATTTGGCACATCGGTACTCGCTCATGATTTACATTCATGAATCCCTACCCCTCCGAATTTTTCCAAGGAGGACCCAGAAAATTATATGAATAAGTCTGGTGTTTTGACGATGCCTCGTACGCGAGCAGTCATTTGAATGAATGTGAAGCATTTGCTACTTTCTCTGCCTTTCAGCTATGACTTCGTAGGAATTTAGTTATTTAATGCTGGTCCCTTAAGTTTGTTTGGAATTCTGTTTTGCAATACTTCTCTTAGTTTTAATCAATAACCTGTTTCACTCAACTTGAAACTTTTTGAGGCACCAAATGAGGCTTGTAGGTCTCTTAATAAATTTCATTGTTCAGGAAGCTAATGAGTCAAGGCTCAATAGCAAATGATCATGACCATTTTTTTGGGGATGGAGAGCAGAAATTTGGCATTTCGTTGCTTGTAATTCTGTCGGTGCAAAGTCTAATATTATCCGTGACTTTGGCTTATCCCATCTTACCTCACCCTGTGCCAAAGAAAATGCTGATATTTCTCCAATCTCAAACCTTTGTTTCACGTTTCGCATATGCTTATTTGTCTATTTCTCTTCTATTTTGTGCAGATGGGCAACACATTGTCACTGTATCTCATGATCGAACAATCAAGCTATGGTCAGGCAAAAACATTGAGAAGGAAGAGAAAATGGATACCGACTAGATTTTGACCTTGCTAAGTTTGAGGTATCATTTCGGATCATCGGGAAGAAATTTGAGTGTATTAGTCTTAAGTTTATAGAATCTCCGTAGAAAATTGAAGTGTAAGGCCCTTTGATCATCCTGTAATTTCGTCAACTAACGAAGTAATGGCATCCTCTACTGTTCAAGCTTGTACTCCAAGTAGTTATACATGAGTTTTACTGTTTCCTAGCAAAAACAAATATCTCGAGTTTTTGTCTGTCTATTTTCGTGCATAGCAATAGACTGGAATGCTTCACTATGACAGTGGACCTTTAAGTTGATGGGTTCAAAGTCATCTCTAGAAGCTCCGATGAAGGTACATGGTTATGCTAATACATTTGTTCATTGTAAGCAACTGCAGTGTGTAATTATGATTTTAAGTGCATTTCTTCAAATGAGTTCAATAGGATGATATATTCATCCAATCGCTTAAACTAAAAATAGACGTACAATATGTGTAATTCATGTATAAGATGCATGTAAATATAATCATGTATAATTACTGTATAGATGTAAACAGTGAATCTGGCCATCTATTTGAGTAAAGATCCTTTTCTTTTTTCTTTGGATGCATTGTGTATATATGAAGAAGTGAACGAAAGTCAATCAATAGTTACATCAATATGCATGAACTTGCATAAACGGGATGGATTGTCGAGCGATTTCTGCATCAAAAGTTTTATTCCTGGTACACACACAAAAAAAGAGGGGCAAGGTAGCCCGATGCACTAAGCTCCCGTATGCACTAAGCTCCCGTTATGCGCGGGATCCGAATACACATTAATGTTAAATATTTAATTTTGTGAGAAAAAAGAGGCAATATAATGAGTGTCTTGATATGGAATTGAACTATTCAGTTATCTAATAACTCCCAGGACTTAAAAAAGGAGCATTCAAAGATTTCAAGTTACTGATTCTAAAAGATGTTACCAAGCCTTCAAAATAATCGAATTAGGTGAGAATGCGAGATCATTACGGACATAATTACCAAGATACACGCGTTCTACAACATCAAAATCTAAGAAAAAGAAAACTAAGTATGACCCGTGCCAGAGGGGAAGTGTGGAAACACTATAGATTCTCCTAAATTAAATTTTTAAAAAAAAAAAAAACCGTGCCAACACGGTAGCTAACGAAGTTCTCCTACGGATTTGGTATAGGTTACAAGATCCAACAGCATGAGTTCATTTGAACTCCATGCATGAATATATAGGCTACCACTTCCTTCAAAATATTCATGCAGGATTAAGTTACTCATTCCTCTGGTTTTCGTCGAAAATGAAATAGCTCTTCTAGTGTTAGCTTCATTTATACCATCCTGTAAGGAGCCACCTCAACAGAAAACAGAAGCAGCAGCAAATGGCCTGTAAAACAAACATTTGTTAACCTTGACATTCCTTCCATGTATAAGAACATATCTGATGAGAGATCGTGTGAATAGTTATGCACATGAACAGGAAGAATGCCACTATCTGGTTGGTCAGAAGACGGAGGGAAACATGCAATTCACGAGCTCAAGGTTTGTGGACGCTATAATCAGCGTTACTATTAGCATAACTACGTTGACTAACTAGAAAATATATCACCCTTTTTGTGATTTAAGACCAATCATCTGTGGTAACAGGTAATGACTACAGATGAATCAGGAAGTGACTGAAAATCCACGTTGTTTAAATAGAAAAAGCGTAAAAAGCAAAAATGAAAAGAGAAAGAAAAAGTTATTTACCTGGAAAACCAGTAGCACAACACAAAGGGACTGTTCCGACATTCTGCCCAATTGCCTTAAGAAAAAGTTCACTAGTGTCCCATCATTTGTTCCGGTCAATAAGCCAGTCTGAGGGTCAAACCTGAAAGGATCCAAGATTAGTTAGTTCAGACACAGACTGGAAACTCAAAACTTGAGCAACTGCAATTAGAGAACTTACTTAGGTAGCCGATGCCTTGGACAAGGTATAATACCAGCTAGCTGAAAGGAATTCAAGAGACTAAAATGAGTCCTTAGAGATCCAAAATTAATTGAGAGAGAGAGAAAGAGAGAGAGAACCTGAGGTAGTGATAGTAGGAAGTTCAGGACTTGCGGCAAAAAGAATATAAGCAGTGTTTCACTGAAAGGAAATCGACAAAACTAAACTCATTAGTCTCAAGTTTCAAATGAAGAAAATTAAACAAATATCTCTACAACTATAGAAACTGAAAGTCATTAGCACATATAATAGTGACACTCGCTTTCTCTTTTCGTTTTCTTGAGCCGAGGGTCTTTCGGAAATAGCCTCTCTACTCCCTCGAGGTAGGGTAAAGTCTGCGTATACACTACCCTCCCCAGACCCCACTAGTGAGATTTTACTGGGTCGTTGTTGCTTTGTCACAATCAATGTGATACTTTAAGTGTGTCTATTTTGGTACATCTAAGATGTTTGATGTACTTCTACTGTTATACCACTCTATGATTTTGGCAAGTTTTAAGATTTTACTTCAATTAATAATTCACATATTCCCTATAAAACCGACGTGCAGCAAAACTAGTATTTTTTTTTTTTTTTTTTTTTTTTTTTTATAATGGTAACATGTATATTAAAAATAAACAGCACTAGGGCAGTGCCAAGCTATATTTACAAGGAACAAAAACTAGCTATGTCAACCTAGGATTACAGTGCACCTATCAGGTCTACTAAAGATTCTGCCTCCTCAACATAACTTTCTTTACACCAGAAATGAAACAAAAGCAAACACTTCATCTTGATTTTCTGTAAAGAATTGCTTCTGTCTTCAAAAGTTCTTAAAATTCTCTCCTTCCAGACTGTCCACCATATGCACGCAGGAACCAATCGCCACCATTTCTTTTGTCTCACTATATCCCCATTGTAATTCCAACACTTCAACAATTCACAAGTGTGAGCTGACATGCTCCATTTAAGGCCCACAATATTAAGAAAGAGTTGTCACAGTTTGTCAGTAAAAGGACAATGAAGAAACAAGTGGCTATTAGTTTCTATAGCTGAACCACATAATAGGCATCTAGAGCATAGCTGAAAACCTCTTCTTCTCACGTTCTCTTGGGTTAAACAAGCCTTTCTTGCAACTAACCATGAAAAACATACCACCTTGAAAGGTGCCTTTACTTTCCATATATACCTCCAGGGCCATTGTTCTAACTGTTGGTTTGAAGCAGCAACTAGAGTGTATGCGGATTTGACCGTAAAATTCCCACTGCTGCAAAGGTTCCAACAGAGTTTATCTTCAGTTTCTCCAAGACCTTGGAAACGTTCCAAGATATTAAAGAAATCCACAACCCTCTCTAATTCCCAATCATTCAAGGCCCTTCTAAAAGTAACACTCCATCCTTGCTGACCCCAGGCATTGTCTAAAGTGGATGTATGCGATGTTGCAATGCTGAAAAAATTAGGAAAAAGTTCTTTGAGAGGGCCATATCCTAACCAGTTATCACTCCAGAAAAGTGTTTTCCTTCCATTACCCACCTTTATGGATGTATTATCAGCCAGAGTATTCTGGTGAAGTCTGATTGACTTCCATACCCCAACCCCATGTGAACTATTAACAATGTTAGAGCACCATAGTCCATTTTGTCCATACTTGGCACGGATGACCTTTCTCCACAAAGCATTAACCTCCAGATTGTACCTCCAAAGCCACTTCAATAGTAAACTCTGATTGTGGGCTTTAAGATTCCTAACACCCAAGCCCCCTTTGTCTTTGCTTGTGATAAGGGAATTCCAATTAACCAAATGAATAGCTTCCTTCTCTCGGTTTCCTTGCCATATAAAGTTCCTTCCTAGTGCATCAATTCTTTTCCTTACCTTGCTTGGTAAGGGAAACAGAGACATTACATATATAGGCAATGCATCCAAGACACTATTAACCAATACCACCCTTCCACCCAAGGATAAATACTGGCTCTTCCATATTGACAACCTCTTTTCACATCTTTCAAGAACCCCATTCCATATCTCTTGCGCTTTGTTCTTGGAGCCAAATATATAGTTGGTAGAGAACCCACCTCACATCCCAGTATAGCTGCTAGGGCCTGGATATCATCTACTTCTTTAACTGGGAACAACATGCTCTTCCTCCAATTTACATGGAGCCCCGAGACTGCTTCAAATATAACAAGAATGACTCTTAGATATTTTAGTTGATCTGCCTTTGCCTCCCAAAAAACTAAGGAGTCATCAGCATAAAGAAGATGAGTGATCTCCACACTATCTCCCTCCTGTTTGAAGCTTTAAAACCTTTCAGCCAACCATTGTTGTTTGCATTTCTTAACATTTGGTTCAATCCTTCCATAGCAAAGAGGAAAAGAAAAGGTGATAAGGGATCCCCTTGTCTCAAACCTCTCTCAGAAGGAAAAAAGCCCTTTGGACCAAAATGGAAAATCTAACTGTTTTGATGCAGAAAGATATCCAGTTGATCCACTTCCTACCGAAACCCATATCCTAAAGAACTTTGAGTAAAAAGTTCCAATTAACATGATCATAGGCCTTCTCAATATCAAGCTTACAAAGAATTCCAGGAACCTGCCCTTTAAGTCTGGAGTCCACACATTCATTTACAATTAAAGAAGCATCCATGATTTGCCTGCCTCTTATGAAGGCCATTTGATGCCCATTCACTAGCTTGTCCACCACTTTCTTGAGCCTTTCTGTAAAGAGTTTGGAAATGATCTTGTAAATGCTTCCTATGAGACTGATTCAGTCTGAAGTCCTTGAGTTCCTTAGCTCAATTCTTCTTTGGAATAAGGGCTATGTAAGAAGCATTGAAACTCTTCTCAAAATATTCATTGTTGTGGAAGTTCCTGATGGTCTGCATGACATCTTCTTTCACAGTCTCCCAACAATTATGGAAAACCCCCACAGAGAAGCCGTCAGGGCCCGGTGCCTTGTCAGCTGCACATAGCTTCAAGGTCTCAAACACTTCTTGTTCTTCAAATTCACCTTGCAACAATTCATTATCTTCCTCTGTAATGCTGCATTCACCTTGGAAGTTAAAACTTGGTGTTTTTGTCACCTTGTTTCGGCCATAAAGCTCTAGATCTTTGTCTCCAAGCTATCTCTTCATTCTTTGCAATATCCTGGAATTCCATGTGCAAGCTTGCCTTCTCAAGTAATTCGGCCTCATTTAATGGTCTTTGTTCCTGCAAAAGATCCAAGTTTTGAATTTGGTTCAAAAGCTCAGTTTTCTTCCTCTTCAAGCTCCCCCCATTAAGCACATTCAACTCCTTTAACTTAACTTTCAACATTTTGAGTTTATAAGCCAGAATATAATCTGGCCTTCCAGTGATCTCACATGAATTCCACCATCCTACCACCCTCTCCTTAAACCCTTCCACTTCCATCCACCAATTCTCAAATTTGAAATAAGATTTTGAGAAGTCCCATTCCCCACATTTCAAAGAAATAGGGCAATGATCAGAGACAATTCTAGGAAGAAGGGATTGCTTAATATTGTTAAACTCCTCGTCCCACTCGGCTGAAAACAAGAATCTATCGATTCTTGAAGAACAATCATGATTGTTCCAAGTGTACCTACCTCCCAATAAAGGAGGGTCAGCAAGCTCTAGATCTTCTATAGTTTCTGAAAAATCCTTCATAGCTCTGGTAATACCCCTGCTATTCTTTCTTTCAGTAGCATATCTAGTAGTGTTAAAATCGCCACAAACCACCCAAACACCTTCACAAACTCCTCTAATCGCACCCAGCTCCCACCAAAGCTCCTCTCTCTCCCTTCTACAGTTTGGGGCATAGACCCCAGTAAGGAACCAAGAGAAATTCCTATTTAGAGAAGAATGTAACCCAGTATTAACTAATTCCCCGGCCCACACCCTTTGTCCCACATAATTAGAATACCTCCACTCCTCCCATTAGACTCTAAACCTCCATAGTCTGCCCATCTATTGCTACACAAAGACCTAACCACCGCACCACGCTCCCCTTCCATCTTTGTTTCTTGAAAACAATAGATATCTGCTCTCCATTCTTGCATTAAAGATTTTATCACCCTCTATTTTCAAAGTCATTCAAACCCCTCACGTTCCATGAAATAATTTGTACCTTCATCAAGAACTGGTAGAGTTGTTTGTTCCCTTGCTCCTTGATCCACTTTCTTTGAATTTGATGTCAAATTGTAGATTCTTGACTTCATTCACCCCTTTTTGTTTTGGGTAGATGGGTTAGAGCCACTAGTTTCCTTTCGCTTCTCGTGCTTCTTCTTGTCCAATTTCATGAACAGAGACCAGGTCTAAGTCCACCCCAAACTGCTTGCTTAGCTTCATGACATTTCGGTGAACCNCCTCCTCCCATTAGACTCTAAACCTGCATAGTCTGCACATCTGTTGCTACACAAAGACCTAACCAATGCGCCATCTCCCCTTCCATCTTTGTTTCTTGAAAACAATAGATATCTGCTCTCCATTCTTGCATTAAAGATTTTATCACTTCTCTTTTCAAAGTCATTCAAACCCCTCACGTTCCATGATAATTTGTACCTTCATCAATAACTGGTAGAATTGTTTGTTCCCCTGCTCTTTGATCCGCTTTCTTTGAATTTGATGCCAAATTGTAGATTCTCGTGCCTCTTCTATTCCAATTTCATGAACAGAGACCAGGCCTCCCATTCACATCCCTGAAAGTCCACCCCAAACTGCTTGCTTAGCTTCATAACATTTCGGTGAACCCATAATGAAGCTTCTAACTCCGCCATCTGAATTTGAACATCTAGCGGTTGGACATCTTCAATTGGCCAGTGTTGAGATTGTTCCACTCGAATTAATTATAGCCCATAATTTTCTTGGTTTTCTATGCCCGTTCCCTCGATATCCGGCCCTGCATCATGGAAATTTTCTTCATTTCCTTCAGAAATTCGCAGAATATTTTGATTCTGATAACTAACATTAGCATCTTCTTTTGCAACCTCGGCTGAATCCACCATTGATATAGAGTCGCATGACTGTGAAGCTTGGATAGCTTCGATCTCCACGAGGAAAGAATCCACTATATTCAGTGGTCTGGGCTCTAAAGGAGTGAAAGAGCACAAAATTTGGTCTGGCCCAATTTCCTGCCTTTGGGCCCGGCCCAAATTCGATTCTTTAGGCCCAAGAGACGGACCATTTAACCCTAAATCCTCCACGTACTCAGCGTGCCCTAGCAACAATCCCAATTTGGAGTTAGATGACTCCCCTTGTTCTCCCCCATAACCAGTCATTACAAGACTGGGC